ATTTAAGTGAAGCAATGTGTGGTACATGGTCCCAATACCTACTCAAAGAAGCATTATAGAGACCAGGTGGGTGTTCATAAACAAACTGGATGAAAGTGGGGATATCACGAGAAAGAAGTCTAGACTAGTGGTACAAGGGAATAATCAGGAAGAAGGCATAGACTATGACGAGATATTTGCTCCTATTGCTAGGATGGAGTCCATCAGATTCCTCATGGCATTTGCAGTTTTCATGGGTTTCAAGATATTCTACATGGATGTAAAAAGTGTCTTTCTGAAGACAGATCTAAAGGAAGAAGTATACGTTAAACAACCACCTAGATGTAATGATGTCAATATGCCAAATCATGTGTTCAAACTCAACAAATCTTTGTATGGGCTGAAGCAGGCACCTAGGGATTGGTACGAAAAGTGGTCAATTTTTTTTTGAAGAATGGCTTCAAGAGGGGAAAAATTGAAAACACACTATTTTTTATGAAAAGATATCAAAAATTGCTTATCATCTAAGTGTATGTGGATGATATAATTTTTGGAGCAACCTCTGAACATCTGTGTGAAGAATTTTCCACTCTCATGGGAAATGAATTCGAGATGAGCATGATGGGAGAATTGAACTTCTTCTTGGGTCTGCAGATCATGCAAACATCCAGTGGCACCTCAATTTTTCAAGGGAAGTATACAAAGGAGTGCTAAAGAAGTTTCATATGGTGGATTCTAAGCCTATTTATACCCTCATGGGTATAAAATAAGCAAATGGAGACAAATGAGGTTGATCGTTTAGTGAATAAAACCATGTATAGAGGTATGATTGGATCTCTATTGTATTTGATAGCAAACAGGCCAGACATTGTATTCAACATAGGAATGTGTACTCGGTTCCAAGCATGCCCCTGGGAATCACATCTAAAGGCAACTAAGAGGATCCTTAGGTATGTGCAAAAAATAGGGGACCTGGTTCTTTTTTATCCTGCAGGTATTTTTTTTTGAATTTGTGGGATATGCAAATGCTGATTTTGCAGGATATTAAGTGGATAGGAAGAACACTTCACGATTGGAACATTTCCTTGGTTCCTCACTCATATCTTGGGGAACCAAAAAGCAAAACTCAATAGCTCTCTCAATGGCTGAGGTTGAGTATGTAGTTATTGCTACCTTCTATATCAATAACCTAGCACCTTTATTCTGACCTGGTCCTTGCTCTTAAGTACTCTTTGCTCTTTTTTTTAGGGAGACCTTCCAATGACAAAGTCGTCGGAGTCCAATTCTTGCTGCAAGCGAGAACTTAGTTGTGGAAAGTTTAACTTGTATGGGGAGAAAGTGTTAAATGAAGAACATGACCAAGGTGTGGAAGATTTTCTAGATAGATTTCAATCGATGTTCGACCAAACTCTTGAGATTAGTGAATATCCCTCATTTGATTCCACTAACACTGATGATGATAACTGTCCCCTCAAGTGGATGGATGGTTCCCACATCCACAAAAGAAAAGGAGAAGGTAGTTGAAGATTCACCTAAAAGGAGACCTTCCACCAGAGCAGTTACTCAAAACCTCATTGATGATGCCATGAAATCCAACGAGGTAATCTAGTGTGGCAATTTTCGAAGTGCCTGCTGAAAATGTAGTGGAGGTTTTTGGAGAAGGTTCTGACGAGGAGTGTGTGTGAAGCTTCTGTTGATAAAAAGCACAAATCATCTAATAAGGTGAGTAAGGAAAAAATCTAAAGAAAACCTAAGACTTGTGCGGAAAAGGGTTGTATTGGATAAGAGAAAAGGAAAGGATTAACAAAAGAAGAGGGAGACATCAAAGATGAAGAGAGAAACTTCTCTGGTTGACCAACAAATATCTGAAGAAAGACCTGGTTCCAAATGGAATCTAGAAGACCAAACAGAAAAACAGAGAGACCATCTTCAATAATTTGCATTTGAGGAAGGTTCTGGGGTGGAAGGGTGTTCGATAAGGATATCATTCACAAACCAGGGATGGACTCACTGTATGATCTTTTGGAGATTCAATCTTGGAGCCACCTTATTAAGACCAAAATCTAATGCTTTATGAGGAAGAATGCGAGAGTTCTATTACAACATTAATATTTTAGAAGATGGAAGCATTAGCACTAGGGTGAGCAATCATAGTCTGAAGTTGGATGATGACTTGCTTAGGAATATTTTAGGAGTACCCAGGGGTAGGATCAAGTCCGTTGCTGGAAAAACATGCAGTGTAGAATTTTTGAAGGAATTCTCAAAGATTCCTAATGCTCGTTGTGCTGGATTTCAGAAGAAGATCATGAAAGGTGAGTATCAGTTGGTCTTCGAATTTGTCAACAAAGTTCTTCTTCCTTGAATGGAAAAAAGGACTGTGACCTCTGCAAGTGATCTATTCATCATGGAGTCACTATGCAAGTTTGAACCTTTGGATCTTTTTGCTCTAATGATGGAACACATGTACAAAACAGTAATAAAACACAAGGGAAAACATGGCATGAGTTGTGGATACTTTTCGATGAAGGTGTTTCACCATTTCATCATCCTTGTTGGAGCATGTAAAATTGGTAATGCCAAACAAACGTTCACCCTAAGCACTTTGGTTGAATGTGAGTGTATTAAAGGGAAGAGGAATCCATTGAGTAAGGTATCTCAGTTGATTAAGAAGCAGGACCAATTGAAGAATGAATTGGTTGTGATGACTGTGCTAGTGATCAACATGGAGGCTGAAATTGCTCAACTTAAATGAATTGATTCTTAGTTTTCAGTTTAACTTAAATGTATTGACTGCTAATTTTGTTATGCTTATGAAATGGAATCCTATTTTGTTTTGGCTAAATTCTCTTTCTTTCTATCTTAATAACTATGTTGGTGTTGTCCTTGACTGTGGTCTCACTTATCAATCTTACCTCTTTTGTTTCTTTACTACACTATTTTTTTATGATGCCAAAAAGGGGAATAAATTGGGGGGTCTTCAGATGATGTTAAGGTTGATGTGAGCGATAGGAGGATGAAAAGATAAATAAGGAGCCTGTCTACTTAACAAGGGGAAGAAAATGCATACACCCGTATATGATTTGTCATCATCAAAAAGGGACAAAAATGTTATTTGTAGTTATGCTAAACCCAGGGAACTTGTGAATGGAACTGGTCCATGGTATTATAAAGTTCTCTCTACTTTAAGGTTGTAAAAGGTACAAGTGGTTGGTGCACGGTCTCCAACTGATGACTTGATAAAACTAGGGACCTTGAGAAGGTAACTGCCGTGGTGCGACATACACCGCGAGGTTGGAAGAAGTACAAGTGGTTAGTTCATAATCTCAAAATGTGGCAGAAAGTGCAGAGACCTCGACCAATGGCGTTGTCTTGAAGGTTGTGACTATTCTACATTAACCTAATTTCCAATAGTTAAAATCTTAGTTTTTTCAACTTGAAAAAACTTTCAAGAACTTTTGCAAAGGCTAACCGAAAAGTGAAGATTCATCCTCAAGATCAAACTCGAACCAATAGAGCTGCCAGCTTAGTGGTCTTAGGATTTTTTCTTCTGAACATATCTTGTAAATCTGATCCTCAATCTATAAAGGAATCAGATAGTTGTTTGGTGCTACATTTTAAATTAGTTAGAGTTAACTGTTTAGTGGGCAGTGTTGTATCTGTCTAGGGAAAATCTAAATAATCTAGAGTTAGGTGTTTTAGTTGGCGGTGTTGTATCCGCTTTATAAAGTCTAAGTTATCTAGGGGAAATAGCTTAGTGGGAGGTGTTGTATCCGCTTAGGCTCTTCAAGTAATAGCTAGATTACTTGTTCGTGAGAATAATAACTTTTTCGCACATTGGTTTTAACTGGGTTCATTTTTGCTTGATAAGATTAGTGAAGCAGTTGAAAATCTTGCACAACAGTTCGTGGTTTTACTCCTTGAGCAAGAAGGTTTTCACGTAAACTATTTGTCTTGTGTTATTATTGTTATTTACTTTACAATATCTGTCGGTCGCAGTGAAGGAACCTGGTCCGTTAACTGGTAGTGGACGCATACATTCTATCACACTTGTTTTTATAATCATGAAATTAAGAGTTATAGATTACCTAAGTGGAGTGATTAAATCAATCAATTGCCTATGCAAATAATACTATTATTTTTACTAAGGTTGATAAAAGATCTTTATAATTAATAATGTAAACTCTTACTCTATATGAATCTCAGTCTGGTCAACTGATAAATAAAGGAAATAGGTTTTTTATATGTTTAGTAAGGTTGCTCATTCTGTGGTTCAAGAAATGAAGGATATTACTGATTTTCTTAGAGATAGATTTCCTAAGATGTATTTAGGATGTCCTATTATCTAGACATGCTAAAAAGAAGAAGGTTCATTTCTCTGAACCCATAAAAAAGATAAGGACAAACTACGAGTTTGGAAAAGGAAGTAACTCTCTTTTGGAGGTAGGGTAGTGTTAATTAATTGTGTTCAAAGTACCCGCATATACCAATTATTGTCTCATGAGCCTTCAAAATGTGTTATACATGATATTCACAAAATATTGGCAAAGTTCTTATGGAATTTCAAGGAAGAGAGCAGAGATACACATTGGATTGGATGGAATGATATTTGTCTCCCTAATTAAAGCAGAAAGCAGTCTGGGTTTCGAATCTCTACTTGATATTTCCAAGGCTTTATTTGCTAAATTGTGGTAAAATTTTAGGAATCACTTTTCTCTTTGGTTTAATTTTTGTGGAAAAAGTATTGCAAGAGACATAGTCCTCAGATAGTGGAATGGAGAGGGGTTCCAAGTCTGGAAGTTGATGTTAATATCTAGGAACTATATATAGAGATACTTCTACATACAGAGGCTCTACCACAAATGCAGATAATACAAGCCGATACGTAGAGAATGACATGAACAACAACAAGGACACAAATTCAGGACAAGTATACAATAACAAGAAATTAAAATCACTTTAGAGCTCTATAAAGTGTGTCAATATGTTATTTTATGGTATAAAATCCAGATTAGGGTTCTTACCTCTCTAGATCTAAAATCATATGGGGTGGTATCACTTTCGTTGGAGCTCATCTCGTGTAAGAGCGATGAAATACAGAGGAAGATGCTCTAAAATTGATGATGACCTGAAATTGACCTCTAAACGAATCTTTCCATAGAGTGATTTGTGTGAGGTTTTCAACATCTTGCAGATCTATCTCAGCTAAGATTTTCACTCATTAATTTGAAGAGGTCTTCCTAGGTGCTGCTTTATGGCGATAGTGAAAGATTTTGACGTATAAGTGATTTTTCTGAGAAGTTGGATGCGTTGAAGATTTAAGCTATGCCTAGTGGATGCGTGAGGGCGATCAATTGGCCGGCTTTCCATCGGAGAAGACGAAGCTTTATCCGGAGATTTGAGGAAAGTCGGTTGACCTTTTTGGGGATTCAATTTTCAAAAAGGTTTCACTGCTTTATTATTTAATTTTGTTGTTTCAATTTTAAGGTTTGGGCCTCTTTCGGGTCTTGTATACTTTTTTTCTTATTATTAATAAATCCACTTTTGAATTAAAAAAACGCATATGTTTCACTTCTAATCCTATTCACTTTTAATATACAACTCCAATATTATTAACCAGTGTTTATTTTTTAACACATATGACTCCATTTTTAGTTTAAGTCAACTTTTAACCATGACAAGTAACATTGATATATGAAAATTGTGTGAAAAAGATCAAGATTATTCTTCTAAAAAATTCAGGAAAAATGGGAGTTTTGTTAGGGTTTGCCCTGATTATCTACCATAATTAGATCTTTCTTGGTTAAAAGGTTTCTTGTTGGAAAAAATTTCTTCCCTATTTAGTTGATACTTTCTTGGAAGAGAGGTTTTGAATTTTTACAAAAAAAGAAAATATTTTCTTCTCATGCCAGCACACAATAACATCAACAATCTGGTTCTTAAAGAGTTTTATGTAGGGGAAATTATTCTCTCAATAAATTTTATGCATTTCTAATATAAGTTTACCGAAATAAACATTAAATTTGTCAACTTGTTATTTTGATACAAACCTTGTAATAGTTGCTTCTTTTGCTTAGCTTATTGAACGTGAAATTTTTTGAAAATATACTCCATCATACCCCTAATGTATAATGTTTTCATTCTTTATTTTTATTAAAAGGCTCGAAATCGATTTCCCAAAACTAAATCACATACACATTTGTTTTCCAGATCCAAACAAAGAAGAAACAAGTAAAGATATGGTACCTAACACAATTCAATCCCAAAAGTTCCTTTACGAGGGAAGGACGATCCAAGTCCATATAGCAAATCACACGTGTGGGACTTTAACCACCCTAACAAAATAATACCAAAACCCATTTACCTGTCAAAATAAAGATATATAAAACAAGAAAAAAAACAAAAACAATTAACACCAAATGGTTGTTGGGTATGTAGCAAGAATTGATGGGAAAGAGAGGAATTTGAAAAGTTGAGAACTTGAAGAGTTGGGAACTTGAAAAGTTCTCTTATGATTTAATGAAAATGCATTTGTCCCTCATCGGTGGTAGAAAGAAAAATATGAGAGTTTAAATACAAAAACAATCCAATTAATTGTTAAAAGGGTTGGAAAGAGGGACCCCTCGCGCCGTCGTCGTCATCGCTCGTATCGGCTACGACTACAACAAATGATCGAGAGATTATTTTTTGGACAAAGTTTGTTTTAATTATTTAATTAATGATTATTTAATTAATTAATTAAATGGACAAAAATGTTTTCAATTAATTAGTTGATAACAGAAGTTGAAAATAAACCGAAATATTTCAAATTTTTAGTTGACTAAGCCAACCCTACTTGGATCCGCACGCGACGCATTTTTCTTCGTGTACTTTTCTGTTGTGGATTGGTTCATTAACAGTAGAGTTTTTGGTAACTACACTCTACTAATTAAGATCATTTTACCTTGGGAGGTTATATTCCAAATCAAACCTTGGATACTAGAGGGGGATAATTTCCTTAAGGGGACACTATGAGTTCAGTGGACTTGATGTTTTTCCGATTTAAAAGGGTTTTCAGATTCTGGTACATTTTTTTTATTTTTGTTTTTGTGAATTAAATTTCTTTTTATCTCTCTTACTGGTTCTATAAATTTCAGTTACTTCGTGTTTTTGAACAATTCTTTAGAATCAGTAATTTCTGGTTTTATAACACAGATTGGAAACAATGGTATACTAAAGAAAACAACAAGTACATATAACTTCATTCCAGCTGAACATAAAGGCACAATTCAGCACACAACAGAGCAAAAGTGTCATTTCAACATTCCAAAAGTTAACTTAATTAAAAGCTACTCAGGTCATGCTTTGTTGTTTTTTTCTGCAGAAAATTTTCACTTTTTTCCCTGAATTGTTGTATCCTGCATTGCATTCTTGATAGTTGATACTGTCTTCATTCAACGGAAAATACACGTTCATAAACATTGAAATGTAGCACCTGCAACATCCATGCCGTTTTGTGGTCATCCTACAAAGACATATAGAAAAGTTTTACAATTATACATATGAAGTTGTGACAGTAGTTGAAAAGATCTATATCGAAGATACAGATTTAAGGTCTTCTAAGAAGGGCTGATGAACTCACTCGAAGAATGTCCTTAAAGGTGTTGTCAAATAGCTGAGGAGGAACTGCTTATGAATGCCTCAGATGGCTGTATTGTGAAGTTTGATCAAACAATAAATCCAAGAGAGATATAGATTATACTTATAAAGAAAATCACAATTATACATAAAACTTTAGCAGTAAGGACGGTAATGTTTACCTGATGAACTTGAATACTTTTGAAAGACTCAAAAAACATTGTGTCACATACTTTAGACGCAGCAAACAAGGTTTTTCAGTAAGTTTCTGTACCACTAGGTACAAGACCTGTACTATCGAGTAGAAGCGTTCAGGCGTTGCACAACAATAGGACATTCCCTTCTCTTGTATCAGAATTTTCATAACTATGAGAGGTTCAACCTGTGTGGCTGTACACCATTCATTTCATATAATCCAAGAAACAATATAGCCCCATAAACCAGAAAAATCATTCAAAAACACTATATAAAACAGAATGGAAAATCAGGAGTGACAAACATATCACCGTGCTAGAAGGGATGCTTTAGCACTAGGTATACCATGTGTCTTAGATGCATACAAGACAGAGTCAAAGGAGAAGAAGGAAGGTCATCAAACGCAACAGATATTACACTTATGTATAAGATAAAAATTATGTTTTATGTATATATAATAGATATTGAATGTCGTTGATTTTTTCAAATATTCACTTCTTTATATTTTACGCTTATTAAAATTTGGCTTAGTCTCATAAACTATTGAACATTATTCACATATTCCAAATTTTCATTCGAGATACGTGTTTATTAAGATAATACAGATATATTGTGGTTACCTTAAAACCACTCTCAAGAACGTAGATGAAAGAAACTTGTTAGTTCGGAGATGATATAAAGTTTTGATGATTTAACAAACTTAGAGATCTAACAAGGAATCAAATTCTTGTTATTGTGACTGCGGATAGTGAATCAATGATACACTTAGAGTGAGGTATATTTTTGTGTTATCATCAAAAATGAAAAAATAATATATTTTAGCTGTTTAGATGATCCTCACAAATACAGAGACATGTGCTCTCGTCAAGATTCAAATGAGGTACAATTATAAAGTTGTCATGCCAGGTGCTAGTAGGAATAGCGGACGAGATTATCTGTTTTGGTATCTCACAAATGCAGGGACTCCCTGCAAAATGGGTCACAACTTTAGAAGTTTTTCACGTCAGGAGGTTGGTAAAGCGTCAACATACTACACCAATAAGAATGAACGTAGTTATTTGTCCTATGGTCAGTAACTCTTTATGGTTGACTTAGTCAACATGACAAACAACAAATAAATTCATTCATTCAAAGAAGGAAGTCACCAGAAAGCCTCTCAAGAACTCATAAAGAAGTTTGCAAGGGACTTGATCCCTGTAACATTGCTTGCGTGAAAAGGTGACAAGACAGCTGTCAGAAAAGCTACTACGGTAGGTGCACAACTTTTCTAACAGCAAGCCTTCAGTCAATGGGAAGGTCTCAACAAATTTGTGGTAATTTATATTATCTCTTTCCAACAAATACAAACTTAAGATTTGGCACATAAAACCTGGATTTTGTATGAAAATTCATAAGCTTGAAAAGAAGGTCATCTTCAAGGAAGAACATTGCTCAACTCAACAAAGTGGCCTTATAGAGTAAAGAAGAGTCTGTTGTATTTAGAGTTTTGTGTATTATGTCCTTACATTGTAAATTGATCCTAATCTATACAATATTCAGATCTTGTTTCGGTTTCTAAAAGTCTAAGTCATCTAGAGTTAGACGTTTTAGTGAGCGGTGTGGTATCCGCTTAGTTGAAGTCTAAGTTATCTAGAGGTGATTGCTTAGTGTACAATGTTGCATCTCCTCTGGCTCGTCTAAGTAATAGGTGGTATTGCTTAGTGTAGAGATTAGAAAGCTAATCTCATTTTGTAAAATAACTTTTACTTTTGCTCTGAGAAAATTAGTAGAAGCAGTTTGAAAAGTCCTGTTGATACAGATCACGGTTTTACTCCCTTGAGGAGGTTTCCATGTAAAGTTATCTGTTCAAACATTACTTTCAGCACTTTTTTACTCCTTGTTATTTTAACTGGACACATATTTTTAGTTATTTTTCTTGATTGAGTGAAGGTACCTGGTCCTTGATTGACTCATCCATAGATAGCATTGGGGGTGACAACTTCCAATACACTGATATGACTTCCTGATATTCATAAGACGAACATTGTTTTCTTTGATTATCGACATGTCTACTTAGATTTCACAAATTGTTATGTCTTGTAGTGCTATATTTGATAATACTAAGATGTCTGCTATTTTTAATAGTAAACATGTGACCAAGACAATGCATATGTCCTTGAACGGTCTTTTTCCTATCTTTAACACTCTTCTTGAATGGCATGAAATCGCTAAGCAGGTGATCAACATCAAGATGTTTCTATAGCATAAACTCAACACAGATGGCTGCAGCAAAGCTAATCCAGGTAGTGCAGGAGGAGGTGAAATCATACCCAACCCACCCAACCTGTTTATTGTAACCTGCTCATTCATCAGCTCAACCTATTTCAACCCATTAAAAAAACATGTTAGAAGATATAATTTACCATGAATGTATTCTCTCTAGTCATCTAACCTTTTAAATCAGATGATCACATAATTTAACATGCATGTTATCAAATCTGTAACATTTCAAATGTTTAGACTAGATCTCACAAAATTCTAACATAAAACTCTATAAAAATCCAATTTATGATTATTCAACAAAATGTAAATCCATGAAAATTAAAAAAGATATA